TGTGTGTGTGTGTGACACATTGTGTATGGGGTGGGGAGAGGGTAATGATGGTATTGTTTATCTCTCTCTCTCCTTCTCTCTGACACATATACATACACACACACAGACACACAGAAGATTAACATCGACACCACCTACCTTCGTCCATACCCAGGCTGCATGCACTCATTGGCTAAGCTGGGCAGAGATGACTGACAGGCCCGATCCATGTGTGGCCCGCCATCCTGCATGGCTCCGCCCCCAGACGGGTAGCCCCGCCCCTGAGCCACTTGCTCAAGGTCGCTAGAATTTCTCTGATCACTGGATTCCAAGGGAGGGATTCGGTACCCGTGCAACGCCGGGGGAGGGTTGGGGTACGGGTAGGGAGGGGGTGGGCTGTACGGGCAAGCCCCGCCCCCTTGCTGCTGGGAGAAACTGCCCGCCATGCTGGCCTGAGGGGGGTAAGCCCCGCCCACTCCGGCGATCGGGGAGTAGAGCCCGCCCCCGGCCGCCCTCTGGTCGTTGATGTCGGGCAGGCACACCCTCTGGCCGCCCGCCCCGGCTAACGTCACAAAGTTCTCTGGGTGGGCCGCGGGGTGGTGGTGAAGGTGAGGGTTGTACGACGACGACGACGACAAAGGTGGTGGTGGTGGTGGTGCCGAGGAGGAGGTGGACATTGCTGAAGCTGTCGCGGACTGCTGCTGCTGCTGCTGCTGCTGCTGTTGGTGCTGGTGGATGCTGCTGCCGCAGTTGTGGCAGGACAGCGGCGACTGACAGCGGTGTAGCAGCGCATCCGTCGTCGTCTGCTGGGAGCGCACCGAGCCCACAGGTTTCGGAGAGTAGGAGCGAGCGTCCGAGTTGTAATTGCTGCTCCCACTTCCTCCTCCTCCTCCCCCTCCTCCGCTACCGCTACCACCCGCACAACTCCCACCGCTACCATCCTGGTAGGTGTCGCCATGGTAACGCGAGTGCGCCGGGCCGGGGTGGGTGGGGTACTCGATGTCCGAGTACGGGATGTTGGCTCGGAGATTGGGGACCATACGGTCGTGCGGGATCGGGCAAGAGCAGGCGGAGATCTTGGAGACGGGCGAAATGGGGCTGCGGTTGTTGATGAAGCGGGTCTCCGCCATGTTGTTGCTGTTGTTGTGGCGGTGCATGGAGTCGCCCGAGTCGCCCATCTCGCTTGGGGGCGGGTGCTCCGGGGGCGGGGGCAGTAACTCCGCCCAGTTCACCATGGGTTGCTTCCCTTGACCGCAGTTGCTGCAAGTTCCTATGGAGATTTTGGCATACTTGTTCCTCTTCACTGGCAGGCCGCTCTCATCTGAGCAGAGGGAGGGGAAAATTGTCCTCATTTATTGCCTTCATTTCTAGGAAAGTCAACTATAATATAACTATGCAATATCATATAATGATATATATCATTTATATAAATAAATAAAAATATGGCAAAAATAAACCTGCTTCGAACCTTATCACATTCAAAACCAAAGTAAATAATAACAAAAATAAACACAGTAAGCAGAATGGTAATACAATATAATAATAATTGTAATAATAATAAAATAATGATAAAGATAAAGATATAAAATAGACTATAACAAAAATAAAAACAATAATGGTAATAAAATATAATAATTTTCAAAAACAACGATAAAGATAGAAATATTATAATAACCTAGGAAACACCTACAACACTATGTTTTTTCCCAAGTCAAAAACAAAAATACAAAAAAAACTAAGCAAAAACTACGTCACTGGCCGCCTCACTGACCTGTGGTGAGACTTCCGCTGTCAGAGCCTGGGCTGACCATCTCACAGTGGTCATGTGGGCAGCCGGCAGCTGGAACATACAGAGAGGGA